TGGGCCTGAGGGACGGGTCCGCTGGTTCCCGTCCACAGGCCGGGGTTAACAACGGCCAGCGCCGTCCCCGGGGGACAGCAGGCCCGCTGGGCGCACGGGGTAGGTGTCAGCTCCAGGCACCACCCGGAGCTCCTCGGTTGAGTCAAGAGTTACCGTGCTGGGAGGCGGGCACAGACACCACAAACGCTTTGTACCCCTGGCCTGCCTTCTAAAGGGGGGTCTTGTCTTCACCTGAGGCACCGGTGGACTGATGGAAATAAAGCCAGAATAGTCCAGTTTAACCGGGAGGATGATGTAATCTACTCAAAAGTAGTAGCTTGGTTTTAATAATGCTTTTCACAGAATGAAAGCGTTATTAAACACCTTGAGATGCTGTTTATAGGACTGAGGTAGACTTGACTCCTTGTTCTGCAGCTGTTGTGAGAGAAAGAAAAGCAGCTGGCACTTAGTCAACCAGTAATGCTGCCACAGGGAAGCTTTGCCCCACAGTAGCTTCCTTGAAAGCAAGACTTAGCATAGGGCAGCAAAAATTCATGAGATAAAAACCTAGTTACACAAATGCATGATGTAATAATCCACTTCTGTATTTTTTCTTGATGCATTTCAAGGTGTATTCATCTGCCACAGGCATCTCTCATGGAAAGTTGTAGCATTACTTAACATTTTTCTGCTAAGTCAGACCAGACAGTACGCAGTGTGAAGACCTGCTAAGAACACCTCCAATGAAGGGTGTGAGGTTTTCACTGCTGGCACGAATGCAGAGAGAAGCTGTGCTCAAGTGTGCGCTGATGCCCCCAGATCTTAAGAAACCAACCAACCAACCCACCCCCAGCACCCTGAGTTTGGTTAAGTGACAGCGGCCAAATCAGCCACAGAACTTCTGGAAGCCCAGCTCAGATGTGAATGCTTTGGATTAGCAATACAAGCTATCAGGAATGTAAAAGGTGTCAAATAAGAAAACAGCCTGGAAATTAAGGAATTCCGGGGGAAAATTATCGGTAAAGTTTTTAAATAGTTATAAATATTTGAGCTGCGATGAGGGATTGTCTTCGGGGATTCAAAAGTGGAGGAGAGGGGTGGCTGGGAGGGGTAAGGGGGTATTGTGAGGGAAGAGCAGGGGTGGCCATGAAGGGATATCATGAGGGGACAGGAGGGGCAGCCATGAGGGAAGCGCGTGAAGGAACAAGAGGGACAGCCATGAGGGGTGAGGGAAGATCATGAGGGGAGAGCAGGGCAATTGCATTGATAATTGTGCTTTCAAATTAAAATATGACAAACTCCTTAGGGTTAAATATTTTATTTTATAAGAAGCCTTACACCAGGATCACCAAATGTTTTGTGTATCACCCAAATAAGTTACATTCATTCTGAGCTTTCATGCAGTTCTAAAAAAGTTAAATTTCTCAAAAAAATAATTTTCAAGTTGGGCTGTCCCAAACTCTGCATTACCAAGCCAGAATTCTTTCACATCACGTAAATATTCCAGTTTTCTCTCCTGCTTTAATAGTACAGCCCCATTACAAAGGCCCCTCCCAATATGCACTCATTAAATGGAAACTCACTGGAATTACCGAGACTTTCTGAATTCCTTGAGTGACAGTAGAAATGCTTCCAAAGTCTGAGTGAGATCACTAAGCAGAGCTGCAAGAAGTGATATTTTGCCTGAGAAGAATACTAAAGTATGTTAAATGAAAACCTTGTTGCAAAGGGACAGATCACCAGGGATGAGCATGCAGGACACAAACAGAAGGCAGCAAACCTCCCATCCACAAGCGTCACCACAACTTTTAGGGGCACACAGCATTTATGCAGTCTTCTACTATTTCAAAAAGGTAATGATATATATCAGTCCTCCTGGCAATGTCAAGGGCTGTTTCATCCAAGTTGTTCTTCAGGTCTGGCTTCACATAGCGATTCATCAGCAGGAGTTCAAGGGTTTCCCTACTGTTCTTGTTTCCTGCAGCAATGTGCAATGGTGTCAGCAAACCATTTGTCTGGGCGTTGATGTCCGCACCCTGCTGAAGTAGGAACGCGGCCACTCTGGTGTTGTTCCACTTACAGGCACTGTGCAGGGGTGTCCAGCCATCCACTGTCTGTGCGTGAACGTCTGCCCCTTGGGCCACCAGCTCGTGTGCCACATCCAGGTGCCCACTGTAGGCGGCGCGATGGAGAGGAGTGTACTGGTCTTCATCACGAGCGTTGACTGGAGCCAGCTTTTCGGAAAGGAGCCTCTTCACTGTGCTCAGCTGTTTGAAGAAAATAGGTAAATTAGTATGAAACTCTGCCAGCAAGATGCACGGCTTCTATTGTGCCAAAGTTTTACAGAAAAGCAATTTCTGTCAGTCTCTAAAAGTCTCAAAGTGCAATGAGAAGGCTCCAGGGACATGTGAGAGCAGTCTTCCAATACCTAAAAGGGCCTATAAAAAAAAACCTGAAATGAGACTTTTTACAAGCAGGTAGTGTCAGGAAAAAGGGGAATGGCTTTAAACTGACAGAGGGAAGATTAACCTAAATCTTTAGGAAGAAATTCTTCAGTGAGGGCGCTGAGACACTGGCATACGGTGTCCAGAGAACCTGTGGCTGCCCCATCCCTGGCCGTCTTCAAGGTCAGGTTGGACACAAGGGCTTAGAGCAACGTGGTCTAGTGGAAGGTGTCCCTGCCTGTGGCAGGGGGTTGGAACTGGATGAGCTTTAAGGTCCCTTCCAACCCAAAACATTCTATGGCTCTATGTTAAGAAATTTTAAAATGAAACTGGGGTGGGTTTTTTTGTTGGTTTTGAGGGGGTTTTTGTTTGGTTTTTAAACAAATACAACATGAACATTAGTTGCAGTGCCTTAAGAGTACCTTTACCTTACACCTTCTCCCTATTTACTTTGAGGACATAAGTACCTCCACAGAACTGTAGACGGAGCTTGTGTGCACGTTAAGAAAGGCAATTAGTAAGAATACATGTACACAAGGGTGTAATGAACCTAACAGGAACCTTGGGCATTTCTTCCTCACTCCCATGAGTAAAAAGCTGCTTTCCCACCCCCGCCCCATAAAAATATAGGAAAACTGTCACCCATTATGTGCATATGGATTTTAGAAAACAAAACTTCAGAGACACCCTCTCCACCCCAGCATAAGGTTTACTTGCCATGAAGAGCCTGGCATGCTTTCAGTTTATAGAAGCTTAAGAAAAGTGCTGCTGCTTTAACTCTGAACAGCAGTCAAAGCTTTTGTTCCCAAAGCTTTTGATCCAGACACATTTTATCGTGTGGGGGCTACAAAGGGAGATGTTTTACATAGAGTAGCTTGCAAAACTGGATCTAAATAGTTCAAAGGGATAAAGGAAAGTGTAGGTGCATTTTTGTTTGCGGATGAAACCGCAGATATCTACTGAAAATAACGTTCTTGTCAGGGGTTCATACGATCCGAATAAATGCCTTACCCGATTATTTTCAGCTGCCCAGAGCAGCAGTTTCTCTGGATGTTTTTCCATCTTTTTTTCCTGCATTTCGTACCATTCCTCACTTCTTTCTTGCTCATCGTCCTCATCATCCGACTGTCCTGACCAACAGCTCTGAGTTCCTACAGGAATCAAATGCCTGTGTGTCTCCAGCAGTTCGAGTTGGTTAAAATTCTCCATAAAGGCTTCGAACTGGTCACTGTCGTCATCATCATCATCATCTTCGATTTGTCTCTCTTTGTTCATTTTCACTCAGTCTCTGTAAGTAGCCGGCATCCAGCAGTATTTGTAACAACTCCTCCTGTTATCCGAGCGCTGGCTGTCGATGCAAACACCTGATGGACGATGCAGAGATGAGCAACGCCACCACCAGCAACACTCAGGAGCAAGAGTTCCTCTGCTAACCCGCAGCCAGACCAGAGACCACCACCACCTCACCGACAAACGGCCCCATAGTCAGACATACTCCGGTC